CCGGCCCCGCCCGCCCCCTCAACCCGTAACCCGTATGGTTCAATTTGTACCCGGACTAACCCAGCCCGCTAAAATCCGTTACTGTACAGCTCAAAACCGGCCCGGCCCGGAACCCGGACGGGTCCCAAAAAAATCGACCCAGCTCGGCCCGGTAGGCCCGTTAAATACCCATACAACTAAGTCAGAAAAAATTGATTCTTAAATTTACCCTCCTTCAGGTTGCTAAACACCATTCGTGACATTCTTGCCTACTTCCCTCTTTCCGACCTCATCACTTCAATTCAAGGACAAACCCATTTCCTAGTCACCGGGCTGTGAAAACACTTCCTGATGTCGAATTTCAAAAACCAGCGAGAGGTTCCCCATAACTCCGACAAGTGCAAGTAGATCCGGGGTCAGCTATAAATGTTATACCCCTAAAAACGGTAAGGAAAAGGTTGGGCTGTAGTTCTTGTATTGGGCGAACCCCGCCAAAGCTAGAAAAGAAAGGAGCTCTCCAAAAATAATTTTAAATTCTAAATACTTTTTTTTTTTCAACTTTACTCCAAAATTGTTTTTTTCTTTCCAAAAATCATATGTTTATGTCCAAACGCATAACTAAATGTATTATATCTGTTTTCTAAGGATTGTGTCTTTTCTGTTTCAAAAACCACAGAGATGTATCGGATTAAAGTTATAAATGAAGGTATTTTTTTTTGGTATATAATATATAGTATTATATATATTCTGCACATTAATTAAATTTTTATAACTTTTTGTATCTGTAATTTTTATTAAAATTGATACTTGATAAACAAAACTAGGATATTTAGACGTAGAAGAAGAAAATGGAGGATTAGAAAGGGATCACTTAAAAAATTTGTCAAAAAGTGGCGTAACGGAATAGAAGCAAAGTAAAGTCAACTAATTAATTAGTAAATTGTTATGTCGGCTTGTAAATTTTGAATTAGTAGTAGCCTAGTAGGTTATACCAAGTCATTCTCTTCTGATACTATACAAAAAATGTAATTTTTTTTAAACATAACTACTTTATGTATGCACCAATGATACTAAAACCAATTATAATAATGATCATGAAAAAAACAACATTTGGATTACATAATAAACGCGGTATTGAATTTTTTGAATTAGTAGTGCATACCAAGTCTCATTACATAGCTTATTTTTCAATTTCTTCCATATAATATTTAACAGAAATATACACGAATATTTTATCAGTAATGTCTTTAATAACCAATATGCTTCTCTAATTGATAAAGAATAAAACATAAAAAAACTAATCTTTTAGTAATTTTATTTATTATTCATGTATCTACGAAAACGCTGAGAGAGTTCCATATGGATTTCTTGAGTCGTTTTAATATCAAATAAAATGTCCCCTTCAAATTTTCTTGAGGACTATTTCCAGTTTTTCAGTTGGCAAAGAAATAATATAATTTTCTATAGCTATCGACACTCAACAAACATAATGCAATTCGAACTATGTATAATCATCAAGAGTGTAATATATGGGTTTCGGGAATCCAATAACTTTTGCGTATATTCTGTATTTTTGTTAATTTTTTTATTAAAGATTTATTTGTGGATCTAATTATTATTGTATATTAATTTGAAATTGCGACAGAAACTCATATACTTAAAATCGCCTCTGTATATAATCTTCCATAATTAAGGATTACTTTTTCTTGAAGCTAGCAAGTTTGAAAAAAGACAATGCCAACCAACTAATCACACCCTCGATGTTTTTTCAACAAAATACTTATTCGTGCTCGATATTTACATTAAAATAAGCAATTTAACCTTCACAGTTACACGTTAATTAACGTAAAATATATATCAGTCAACTTTGGTTAAGTAATCAATGTTTATAACCAAGTGCGAGTAAGTTATTCTTCTTCTAGAGGGAAGTGCTATAGTGAAGGTAAATACTGTGAGCGTTACAAAAATAGAAAACTCTTAGAAGAATTAAAGAAATCTGAAAAATAGTAGAGAATCGAAAATATTCCGAGTCCACAAGTTTCTTGTGTGTCCTTAAGAAATTTTAACCCCCTCATACGTTGCCAAGGTAATGGATTAAATCCTCCCAGGATAAAACGGAATCAACCTTCCTGTAACAGTGGCAATACAAACTGCAGGATACCAACGAACTCAAAGAACGGAGCAAAATCACATTTACGAATTTAAGATAGAGAGAGTGCGAATTAGGATGCAGTATATTCAGAAAGAAATTTCTGGAGTGTTTTTCGTGTGTAGAAAATAGAGCCTTGCCTCAGAATTTATAGGCAAATATCATAAGAGGTGTCTGGAGAAGGTGCCTTTTCATAAGAATACGCTGCCGGCCGCGGTTCTACTGCGATCGCGGTAGAACCGCGGTCAGAGAGGCTCTCTAAATCTCCCTGCCGCAGTTCTACCGCGGTCGCGGCAGAACCGCGGCCAGAGAGGCCCTCTCAACCTTCAGCAGGTTCTGGCGTATTTTCAGCAGTGATTTGACATTTAATTAATTATTAAATAATTAAATAAGTTTTGTCCAAAAATAATCTTATCGATCATTTTCCAAAGCCAAAGCCCAAGCCGAAGTCGAAGCCGAGCAAGCGACGACGGCGCGAGGGTTCATTCTCTTCAACTCTTTTTAAGAGTTTTAAGAAGTGATTCTATATATAAGCACACAAATGAAGTTGTCCCTCACCAATGAGGGACAAAGTGCAAGACAAAAGTCACTTCTTCAAATTTTTATTTTTCCCTCCATTTTATTTTCCTCCATTTCCAATTCACACTTCTTCTACTTTAAAGCCCAATGGCTTAAAAGCCCAACAAGTACTTCATCTTTAACCAGAGGTATTAGGTTCGAGTCCCTGAATATGGAGTTGCCTTTGTTAGAGACCGTTTTACCCCCATAATATGGGATTTTCCGACGCGAATCTGAATTTAGTCGGGCCCCAATATGAATACCTGGCAGTAACGGATCTAAAATTTTTAAGTGATGTGGGTGCTGAACTATTATTTATCAAAATTACTATTAAGATTGGGTGCTCAAGTAATATATTTGTAAGAATTTCTAGCTTTTTTATATAAATAATAGCTCATGACTCCAAAAGTAATCGGTGATTGAGCGCCCATAACCATCAACAAAAATCCGCCATTGGTACTAGACACTGGATGGGGAAATAAAAAACCCTCAACTTCAATGTTTTATTTATTAATTTGTTTAATATTTACCGTAACCTAAAATTAAATAAAGGTTAATTAAATTGGCATGTTTAACTTTACTTACATTTGTAACTATTTGTGGTGGCACGTGCATATATAGAAGGAGAAGACAAGATTCTTGTGCATTGGCTTTTTGATGAGAGAATTTAACTTGCTCGTGAAGTATGTGGTGGATAAAATGCTCACATGAATCAGTAAGTAAACATAAATCAACAATAATACATATATAAATAGTTTTCCTCAAATTGTGAAGCTTACACATCTATTGGCTTTGATTAATATGGTTAAAGGTAACCCCTTAGAACACGGTCCCAGACAGAGTCAAGATTTGAAACTTATAAGTTCAGTATTCTAATTCTTTTAAGTTACTGGGTTCTAAATTAATAATTTGTTCATAAATCAATAAATTTGTAAGACAAACATAAAGTTTAAACAAAAGTTAGTGGGTTCAGCCGAACCCGTATCGGAAGGGCTAGCTCCGCCCCCTGAACACGGCCACCTCAAATCAAAGGCAACTCCACCTACCCTAATTTCCTAGGACCCCCACACCCCACCCCCACCCCCACCCCGGCGGCTGGGAAAACAGAACCATAGAAGACAACAATCAAAGACCAAATTCTATGATCCCACTTTTCATTAAGGTTCAGAGGCAACACAAATATTGAAAACGAAAATGTAAAAAATTAAAAACACTCGTTTTCCCTTACACAATTATAGCATGCGTCTCTGTGCATAATGTTATGTTCTTTTTTGTAAATCTATGTAGCAGGTAACCACTTGTTATAGAAAAAAAAAACTATGAAAAATGCAGAGTGATGAAGTAATGGAACTTAATTTTTTTTTGAGAAGTCCAGCTGTATAGAGTTCATAATTTGAAAAGTCTTGATTCTCAATCGGACAAATTAAATTGGTGCCAATTGACAGCTCCATACTAGCGACTGCCTCTCACTAAGTGTTACTATAAATACTTAGGCCTTTGCTTCATCTTAAGTCATTACCTCTCAACAAAAGCTTCTTCTCTTCCTCTTTTTCTCACACTTTCAACAGTGTGCAGATTTGCAATATTGCCACATTAGAGGTGTTGGTGGCCCAATTTTCCGACTAGTAATGAGGCTTAACGGTGGCGACCCCCGCCGGGGTCGTCATGTGCCACAAATCTTAGTGGCATTGGCCATTTTGGCTGTTGCTAATGTTGTTTCTGCTGACCCTTATGTATATGCTTCTCCTCCACCACCAACTTACGAGTACAAGTCACCACCCCCTCCTTCTCCTTCTCCTCCACCGCCTTATGAGTATAAGTCTCCACCACCACCGTCACCATCTCCTCCACCACCGTATGTGTATAAATCTCCACCACCACCGTCACCATCTCCTCCACCACCGTATGTGTATAAATCACCACCACCTCCTTCACCATCACCTCCACCACCATATGTGTATAAATCACCACCACCTCCTTCACCATCACCTCCACCACCGTATTACTACAAATCTCCGCCACCACCTTCTCCATCACCACCTCCACCTTACTATTACAAGTCTCCTCCACCACCTTCTCCATCACCACCTCCACCATACTACTATAAATCTCCACCACCACCTTCACCCTCTCCCCCACCACCTTACTATTACAAGTCCCCACCACCACCTGCTAAGTCACCTCCTCCACCATACTACTACTCCTCCCCTCCTCCACCAGTTAAGTCACCTCCTCCACCGTACTACTATTCCTCCCCTCCACCACCAGTTAAGTCACCTCCACCACCGTACTACTACTCCTCCCCTCCACCACCAGTTAAGTCACCTCCCCCACCTTATTACTATTCTTCCCCTCCACCACCAGTTAAGTCACCACCTCCACCATATTACTACTCCTCCCCTCCTCCACCAGTTAAGTCACCTCCTCCACCTTACTATTACTCCTCTCCTCCACCACCAGTTAAGTCACCTCCTCCTCCATACTACTATTCTTCCCCTCCACCACCAGTCAAGTCACCTCCTCCACCATACTACTATTCCTCCCCTCCACCACCAGTCAAGTCACCTCCCCCACCATACTATTACACTTCACCACCACCCCCAACTCCTTACTATCCTCCTCACCATTCCTTGATCGTTAAGGTTGTTGGAAAAGTCTACTGCTACAGATGCTATGACTGGAAATACCCAAAGAACTCCCACAACAAGAAGCACCTCAAAGGTATAGTACTTATCTCTGCAATATAATATTCTCTCTTACTTCTTCTTTTCTGTTTAATATTTCTTCAAAAAATATTCAGTGAGATGTTTAATTACTTAGGAATATATTATTCTCTTCGTTCTTAATTAGCTTTCCTCGAAATTAATGTATCTTCCTGAGTTTTGAATCTTGGAGAAATACCCTGATATATGCTTGTATTTGAAGGCACCAATTCATTAATAATGAAATGCCTTTAGGGACTTAAATTTAATTTAGCATGTGTCAACCAACATTCTTTCTAAATATATGGAGTATTATAGTGAAAGCGAAGGACAGTAATTAACTGTAAGGCTAATTCTTGAATTATTTATAAAGTTGATAATGTCCTAAATATATATTTGCCAAAAACGTTTTTTAAAACCAAGAAGTAGCATCGAAGATTTTTTTATTTTTTTTTAACAACTGAATCATTACAAAATATCAAAAAAGTAAAAGTAAAGAAAAAAAATTGTTACTTATGCTTCCCATCAAAAAGCAGTCTTCCTTGTGGATCTATGAGATATATATTCATGATTAAGTAATTATTTGTGGTATTTATAAGGTTTTCTTTAGCTTTTTCTTTTTTCATGATTAAGTAATTATTATCAAAATATTAAATATATAACAATGAAATAAATTTGTTGGATAATCACCAAAATGGTGAAAAAGTGGCTTCCTCTTATTGTGCCCAAACTTAGTCTTCGTTGGCTCACAAATAACTGCCCATTTTAGTCTAGCAATCATTCAACAAAAAGCAGCAAAGGAAGCCAGATGTGTAGATTCTTGACTTTTATATTCCTTATTAGATAAAGAGGAAAAAGTGGAAAAATGAACTTTAGATCATGTGATGGAACAGCTATTTTTATATTAAGAATAGGACAAAGTTTGTTATGTAGCTAGTAGGAAAATAAGGTGAATATATGTCTATATGATTTGTTAATAACTCAATTATTAAGTACTAATTGAAATATTATTTTTTACACTTGGAGTAGGTGCTGTTGTTGAGGTCACATGCAAAGTTGGTGACAAGAAAATCAAGAGTTTTGGTACCACTAAAATCAATGGCAAGTTTGCTATCACAGTCGAAGGATTTGACTATGCTAAATATGGAGCAGATGCATGCAAGGCTAAACTCCACAAAGCACCAAAGGGTTCAAAATGTAACATTCCTACGAATCTACATTGGGGGATTAAAGGTGCTGGCCTCAAAGTGAAGTCAAAGAATAAATATGAAGTTGTGCTCTATGCAAAACCATTTGCTTATGCCTCTAAAACTCCTTATGAAGAATGCATGAAGCCTAAGCCAACTCCTGCTCCTTACTATTATAAATCTCCACCTCCTCCATCACCAAAATATATATACAAGTCACCTCCTCCTCCATCACCTAAATATGTGTACAAGTCACCGCCTCCTCCAACCCCAACATATGTGTACAAATCACCACCTCCACCATCACCAAAATACGTCTATAAGTCACCACCTCCTCCAACCCCAACGTACATGTACAAATCACCACCTCCACCATCACCAAAATACGTATACAAGTCACCGCCTCCTCCATCACCAAA